TATCTTCTTCATCCACTCACCCACCAGTCACCACACCATGTCCTACCCAATCTGGTTTGTTGGGTTTGGCTTCCAGGCGGAACATGTAGCCATGGCTCTCCTCTTCCAGAAAAGATATAGCGCGCCTTCGCTCCCTCCCAGTTTGTAGTTTTTATCGTAACCTTTCAGCATCTCACTCACTGCAAACGCTGCCGATGTGCTGACCGGCCATCCCATGAACCCAGCCATCATCATTCTCACCCTCCACTTCCCCAGCACCTCGTGTCTCTCCACTCTCTCTGACTCCTCGCATGCTATCATGTTCACTATGTCTCTCGCCACACAGTGTTGCTCCGCACTGATCCTCTGCTTATCATCCCGTGGCCTCGCTGCATCTATCGACTCAAACATTGCTGTGTAGTAATCCAGTGTCTCCACAAACCGTGACAGGAAAGGCGATGTGTTTGTGTTGGATTCTTGCTCCACTAGCGTCACCAATTTCGGGGAGAGGCTCTTTATCAGATGCAGCAGCCTGTCCCTGTGATTCTCAACACTTACGCTCTCGTCAGGCATGTGGTGTAACATGTACGGGAAATTCACAGTAACAGCAAAGCCAGGTTCCACCCCCAAGTGTTCCCGCTTAACCTTGCACCCGGACATGACTGCATCATGAAACTCAAAGGGGACACCACATGACTGCGCAAACTTTGAGAGCTTCTCCCCTACCAAGCTAAGCCCTCCCCCACGGGCAAAATTAGACTGTGAATCATCCACACCCGTCACACGCAGCAACGGCGGCCCACCAGGGCGTTTCCCAAGCTCCTGGATGAGAAACATGTATTGTGATCCCTGTGCAATCTGAAAGTCGATAATATGGATTCTGGTTTCCCCAGCCATTGCTTCCAAGATCGCAGCATTCGCAGCTGTGTATGCGAATTTCCAGTAGGGGCAGATTTCGTAGAGAACGCCCATGTAAGACATGAGTTCCCTTCCCGTTGGTTCATTGCATTTCAAGGCTCTGTATATATTGCTCCCAGACCCCTCAAGCCTCGCTCTAAGCCCTTCTGCCATGTAAGTACCTAGCCGTTGGATCGGACTGCCTGAGACCGACACCATCTGTTCCAAGACATCGAGGAATCCATATGCTGTAGCGAAATCTCCGTCAGCGACCGCCCGAGCCCCCTCCAGCAGCACTTCTTTCAAGTCCAGCTGTGGAGTCAATGCCAAGAGTTCATCCCAGTTCCACGACTTCCCAACAGCGGGGCTGAAACCTGAGAACTCTTCAACTTTAGAATCACCACTCAGCAGCGAGACCTCAAGTTCCCGAATCTTACTCTTGACCCCTGCTTCGTCATAGACATAAGAAGACGCCCCGCTCAAGGGAGATCCACAGACGTTGTCAGGGGAAGGATGGAGATCAGAGATGCATGACTGAGAGCCCTGAGGAGAAAAGGGGCTCCGGCCAGATGTGATGCTCACAGAAGGGGAGTCATAGGAAGGAAGACTACCAGAAGCAGTGGAGGTATCGAGAGTGAAGAAGTGCTCTTTGGATGGGGCATCAGAGAAGCCACTGTTGTCTATCACCTGAAACTGAGGTGAAGAGTAGACTTGAGGATACAGCATGTGCAGTCCAGCTGCACTGTGATGCTTCTGAGACGTTTGCATTGGAAATACGCACCCACTGATCGATCTTCAGTCTATCGTTTGTTTGAACCAACCTGTCTCCATGGGAAGGAAGAGAAGGACAAGTGAGTTACAAAAGCAACTGAAAACAGACACTGTGATTTGTGATACGGAACAAAATAAAGAAGTCTGGTTCCAAAATTGTGAATTTTCTCCAAAAATGCACTCTTTGCAAGTCTACTCACAATCAATGATTCAATCATAGGGTCATCAGAAAACAGATGTACTACTGTAGCATCTTTCAGAAATCAAGAATACTGCCTTAAGATTCCTATTACCAGAAACAGAAATAAGAGCCTTCACCACAAAAATAGAAGCTTTCTACTCTCTCTGCAGAAACCAAATCTGTCTGTTTAAAGGTAAGGGTCAAACCCTAACGCACAGGGTCAATCTATTTGATTGAAAAGATTCAAAATTCAGTCATGATTTTGAATCAACACAAGGCCCCATGATCAAAACCAAATCAATTTAGGTTAATCGCTTGCACCAAACCAAATCAAACGACCAACAATCAAAAAGCCCTATGATCAAAAGCTTAAGCCTTTGATAAATTTAGATAAGAATACACACACCAGGTTTCATTTATGGAAGAG